TTTGTTCTTTGGGTGTTGAGTTTGATAAGTTCTTTATAGATTTTGGATGCTAGCCCTTTATCTGATATGTCATTTGCAAATATCTTTACAGCATATTTTCATAGGTTCAAATGCCAGTTGTGTTTCTTTAAAATCTTTTATATGAATGTGAAGGGGAGTATTCTCATAGTATCTTTTACTGTGGTTATGAACTCTTTGTTTCAATTAAAAAGAAAATGACCATTAGTTCTTTGAATTAGACATCAAATAAGAGTTTAAGGTGACTGACCTTTCTCTCCTCCCTCTTCCCTATAATAAATAAATGTCTTGAAACAAGTCAGAGCTGGAGATTCAGTACTCTTGAAAGTGAGAAAGGAAGCTCCCACTTACACCTCAGAATGTGGTAATAATAGTAACACCTTTAGCTGAGCTAAAAATTGATGTCATTCTAAACTGAGGTTTCCTTTTAGGATTTGGACTAATTCTGAAAAAGTAGATTAGCATTTGAATGTTTTCCTTGTTCACTAGTTAACTACATTTCCTAAATCCATTTGCAAAACGAAAGGATCAGACTGGGTGGATCCTTAGGCTTTTCTAAATCTTAACACTGATTCCGATCTAGTTTTATCAGGTGGGAAGCCTTGACCTACATTATAGTTGGTAGTGATTGATGGAGTTTCTGTGTTTATTTATTTATTTATTTATTTAAAGATTTTATTTATTTATTTGACAGAGAGATAGCGAGAGCAGGAACACAAGCAGGGGGAGTGGGAGTGGGAGAGGGAGAAGCAGGCTTCCCGCCAAGCAGGGAGCCTGATGTGGGACTCGATCCCAGGACCCTGGGATCATGACCTGAGCCGAAGGCAGATGCTTAACGACTGAGCCACCCAGGCGCCCTGGAGTTTCTGTGTTTAAACCTAAGACTTACTCAGTTGTATACTAATGTCTGAGTATTTGTATACAGAGGTACTAGAAATGTGGAGAAACCCCCACCTGGATTGGCTTGCTACTACTAGTTGTGTAGTTAAGAATCCAAATGTGAAATAATTTGCTTTAGTGAATCTAAATTACTTAAAATGGAGAGTGGCCTTGATAATTTTGTAATGAAATAGCTCTTCGTAGATCTAATTGATTAGAAAATAATGAAAACACTGTTGAGCTGCCATTTGGAGAATGAGTATGTTTTCATTGCTGGTGGACCAGCTCAAGAGGTGTCACTCAGCCGAAGAGTGATGTTGCTGGTGACGAGGATAGATTTGAGCTGACATCAAGTGCTTTGTTTACCAGTCCACTGTGCTTAGCTCTTTACATACATATTCTCATTAAATCCTCACAGTAAGTCCAAGGGCCATAGCATCATTTCTTTCAGATGAGGAAAAGTGAGGCTTTGCAAGAGGTCTGGTAACCTGTTCAAGGTCAGGCAGGTACTGCCAGGCAGTTGGAATGTCTAAATCATTGAAAGTTAGGTGGTGGACTTTGTTCGAAGAAAGGCCCTCCTGGAGAGGAACCGGCAGTGCATCCCTTACTCAATTTCACTATTTAATCGTATTTACTTTAAGATCTTTTTTAGATCTCTTACTCAACTGTTACTGCGTGAGTTCAGTCTTGTTATTTAATCAGAGGAATAGGTACTTTCTTTGTAATAGCCTGTGAGATAGTTGACAATCTCAGGCATTATCTTTTTTTTTTACTATTTACTGAAGTGTAACATATAGTCATTGTAGAAATTTTGGCAAATAAAAGCATAAAGAGAAATAATAATCTTCATGCTTGTGCTTTTTGTAGATTACCTCACTGAATCCTCACGACGATTTTGTGAGGTAAATATTATTTTCATTTAATCGATCAAGAAAATGAAGCTTAAAAAGGTTAAGCCTCTCACCTAAGATCACATATGGGGTGTCCCCATCGGATGGGGAGGCCACCAAATGTGGGGCGCTCTGATCGGATAGAGGTGGCTTCATGGGCAATGAAAGAATTCACCCCAGGCAGAATAAAAGAGATAAAAGTTTATTGAATACACCGCAAGAAAGCCATGGGCACAATAGCAAAGAGAGGCCCCAGTTAGAGGGCGGGGTGAGGGGTTAGGTTATGGGGACAAATGGAATTTTCACTTTTTTGGTGATCTTAGGAAACTGTGCGTGGTTGCATTTGGTCATTTAGGGCCTTTGGTTATTTCAAGGTGGGTCACTTAATGAGCTTGTTTGCATTGTCTGTTTGCATTCAGCTCCGTGGTCCAGTGGGCCCCTTTTCCTTACTCAGGTGTCCCATGCTCAAGCTTGTTACCTCAGAGCTGCCTCTACATCACTGAGCTAATGAGCAATACAGCTGGAATTTGAACTCTGGCATTCTGACACCAGATCCCTTATATTGACT